AAATATTGCTGACATCATCAACCCTTAAATTAACATTAAAAAAATTTCCGCCATTATTTATTTTATAAAAGAACAGAGTAATCCATACAAAACTTGTTAGATTTCGGGAAACTCCTCAATCTGGAGTGTGTACCATTAATCAATATACATAGAGTTTTTCAAGGCTCATAAACCTAGTACGATAAAGATACATACAAATATTATTATAATATACGACAAATATTATCATAATTATAATATCTATCACACCCTCGCAGCCATAGCGCAAGGAGGTTGTATGCTAAGACTGGATCTAAAATCCAAAATTAAGTCTCGTGGTAGGCCTTTTGTGAAAATGTTCTCAAACTGATATCTAGAAAAACATGGAGAACCCGAACTTTTTCCAAAGCAACCTTTTCTCCGAACAAAATGAATATTCATCTCCACATGCTTGGTGCGTTAGTTGCTATTGTACCGGGTTGCTAGAAAGGTAGATAGTACTGACATGATCACATATATAGAGTTTTACAAGACTCATAAACCTAATACGATAAGGATACATAGTATATACAAATATATTATCTTAATATGCAACAAATATTATCAATTTATTATAACTATAATATCCATCAAAACTAAGTAACACCAGTAATAATCAGGGGCGGAGCCATCGGGGGGAGGAGCTGGTGGAGGCCCGACCCCCGTGGCCCAAACACCAATTTCAGTAATTGTTAGTGGCCCCCCCTTATAATACTACTATATAAATTAAATGTCAGTGGTTATGTTTATGTGGGTCGTCTTAGTTCAGTGGTTGAAGACTTGTGAGGGTGGAATTTCGCTACAACGGTCCTTATTCGATCCCCACTTACTTCTTTTTGCACATTTTTTTATACCTTTCTTTGATTCATTAATTTTCCCTATATTTCGTTTTATCCTTGCATCTTTCATTTAATTAGTTTTTCTAATACTCCATTTTTTTTTTAATTATTATTAACTCTTCTTATTTTTATGTACTTTTGCACTTATCATTATATGTTGTACAAATCTTGGCCAATGATACCTTTAGTAAACAACGTTATAAAAATTACTATTTATGTAGTAGTTTATTTGACTAATATATTGATTTCAATCACTAACATTCTACTTAATTGATGAATTGAATCATTAACATATTATTTAATCACTAACATTCTACTCATGGGCGCCATGAAGGAACAAGGGGGGACCATTGTCCCCCCACTTTCGAAAAAAAAAAAAAAACTGAGGAAAAAAAAAATTTAGGAAAAAAAATAAAACTGGGAAAATAGTTATAAAAAATTGAGTGTAAAAATAAACAAGAAGTTTGCTTTAGCTAAGTTGGTAGTGGGCACAAAACAATATGTCAAGGGGCCTAATTTCAGGTTTACCTAGATCAGGGTTCGAATCCCCTTATAACATCATTTTTTTAATTTTTTTTTTGTGAGTGTTTTATTTTAGGTTATTTTGACTTTTACCACCCGCAAAAAACGAAAAAATTTGCTATTACCACATCCATAAAAAAAAAAGTTTATTTTACGACCACATAAAAAAAAAAAATCCCCACTTACTTCTTTTTGCACATTTTTTTTATACCTTTCTTTGATTCATTAATTTTCCCTATATTTCGTTTTATCCTTGCATCTTTCATTTGATTAGTTTTTCTAATACTCCATTTTTTTTAATTATTATTAACTCTTCTTATTTTTATGTACTTTTGCACTTATCATTATATGTTGTACAAAACTTGGCCAATGATACCTTTAGTAAACAACGTTATAAAAATTACTATTTATGTAGTAGTTTATTTGACTAATATATTGATTTCAATCACAAACATTCTACTTAATTGATGAATTGAATCATTAACATATTATTTAATCACTAACATTCTACTCATGGGCGGACCCATGAAGGAACAAGGGGGGACCATTGTCTCCCCACTTTCGAAAAAAAAAATTGAGGAAAAAAAAATTTAGGAAAAAAAATAAAACTGGGAAAATAGTTATATAAAATTGAGTGTAAAAATAAACAAGAAGTTTGCTTTAGCTAAGTTGGTAGTGGGCACGAAACAATATGTCAAGGGGCCTAAAAAAAAAAGTTTATTTTACGACCGCATAAACAAAAAATCCCCACTTACTTCTTTTTGCACATTTTTTTTATACCTTTCTTTGATTCATTAATTTTCCCTATATTTCGTTTTATCCTTGCATCTTTCATTTAATTAGTTTTTCTAATACTCCATTTTTTTTAATTATTATTAACTCTTCTTATTTTTATGTACTTTTGCACTTATCATTATATGTTGTACAAAACTTGGCCAATGATACCTTTAGTAAACAACGTTATAAAAATTACTATTTATGTAGTAGTTTATTTGACTAATATATTGATTTCAATCACTAACATTCTACTTAATTGATGAATTGAATCATTAACATATTATTTAATCACTAACATTCTACTCATGGGCGGACCCATGAAGGAACAAGGGGGGACCATTGTCTCCCCACTTTCGAAAAAAAAAAAACTGAGGAAAAAAAAATTTAGGAAAAAAAATAAAACTGGGAAAATAGTTATATAAAATTGAATGTAAAAATAAACAAGAAGTTTGCTTTAGCTAAGTTGGTAGTGGGCACGAAACAATATGTCAAGGGGCCTAATTTTAGGTTTACCTAGATTAGGGTTCGAATCTCCCTTGTAACATCATTTTTTTTATTTTTTTATTTTTTTTTGTGAGTGTTTTATTTTAGGTTATTTTGACTTTTACCACCCGCAAAAAACGAAAAAATTTGGTATTACCACATCCATAAAAAAAAAAGTTTTATTTTACGATCACATAAAAAAAAAAATTGGCTTTTACCAGCAATCACCTCCAACTAACGGATTCCATCCATAAATCTGTTAGGGGCGTACTATGTCCACGCGCCAACATATTATTGGGTTTTGTTTTTTTATTTGTAAATTTATTTATTTTTTTACCCAATAATATGGTGACACATGGACATGATAGGCCCCACTAACGAATTTATGGGCATAATCCGTTAGTTGGTGGTGATTGGTGGTAAAAGTCAATTTTCATTTTTTTATGTAGTGATAAAATAAATTTTTTTTAATGGAGGTGGTAAAAGCAATTAAGTTGTTTTTTGGAGGTGGTAAAAATAAAAAATTCCTTTATTTTTATTTTAACCAAACCACTCGACTACTCCCTTATTCCTATTTCCCAACCACGAGGCACGAACCACCACCCACGCGGCCACGAGTCACGGACTGCAGCGAGCATTTTCGGCAAATGTTTGCTAAGAAATCAACATCACAAGATAATATGGCATTCGAATCCCCTTTGTAACATCACTCCTTTTTTTTTTTTGAGGAGTGTTTTTATTTCAACCATACCACTCGACTACTCCCTTATTCCTATTTCCCAACTAAACCCAAATTACTTGTATTGTGTACCCGTTTTTTTTTTTTTTAAATAGGTTGATGTTAGTTGAATTATCGAAATTGTCCCCCATTGTCAAATTTCTAGGTCCGCCACTGATTCTACTAATATATTGATTTTAATTGCTAACATTCTACTTAATTGATGAATTGAATTATTAACATATTATTTAGTAACTTTTTTGTTACAAACTTCTCCCTTTATCTCTTTTTGATAGTTATACTTTGACTTTTACAGTATGTATTCAATATAAAGTTAGTAAAACTTCTTGTTTAAAAAAAAACAAGGTTAGTAAAACTTCTTGTTTAAATAAAAACAAGGTTAGTAAAACTTATAAGAAAAAAGATATTTTGAAAATTCATTATTTCATGTTTAATCCAACAACAACTCACATACATGATATGGTTTAGAGGTTTACATTTGTGTCTTTCTACAGTCAAAAGGTTTTGAATATTGACCACCAAACTCAAACAAAATGTAATTATATGTATAAAAAAAAGACGGATTAATAAAAATACAATCAAAGCTAAGGTAACTCATAATACTGCACAACCATAAAATTTTGCAATGAAATAATTAATAATACAATACAATTTAATAATATAAAGTATATATATTTCGGTCCCCTCAAGTTTAAAAACTTGGCTTCGCCCCTGCCAGTAATAATGACTGAGTAGCCCCTAGAACACCAAACGAGTAACCCTATAACACCGACGAAGTAATCCCTTTAACACTGACCAAGTAACCCCTACTATACTAACGAAGTAACCCCTGCCACACGATATGGCCAGTCACATATTAACTTAATTTCATTGTAGGAAGTCTAGGTTATAGCCTTGTAGAGTTATAGGCTTCTACGCATATCATTACTTTTTATTTAAATGAGGGAAAAAAAAAAGAATAATTGTGGACAATAACGTTGTTAGCAACTTTTGTTGAGATAAGTATAGTTTGTTATGCTCCACATTTTATGGTTCCATAGTTAAATAAGTACAAAATCTTACAATGTGAAAAAACACAAAGGATTCACACTACTTAAATTAATTAAAATGAGTGGTAGCAACGAACTAGCAATATTAGGTTTCAATAAATAAATAAATAAATAAATAAATCAATATCAGTCTTACGATCAAATTACAAACCAGGCCAATAGGCCATGTCATCTTATCTTGACTAATTGTTCTTTTGTGTATGAATAGGGCATTGCGCTACCAATTCAGGCCATACCATCATATTTCAATGATTGTGGTTTTGCCTATAAATATGGCATCGTGCTACCAATTCAGGCAACAAAAAATCTCAAAATAAAAACAATAAGCTAAGGGCTTGTTTGACATTGTTTTTTGTTTTTAGTTTTCAGTTTTTTTGAAAACCAAAAACCAAAAACAGGAAACAAGAAAAAAGTGTTTTCACTTTTCTGTTGTCAGTTTTCAAAATTATCATGATTTTAATAAGTTTGACTAATTTTTTATTCATTATATGATATGTATCATATGATTTTAAAAAATAAAAAACCAAAAAACAGAAAACCAATGTGATGCCAAACGAACCCTAAGAAAAAGAAATGGGGATTTTGCCTCTGTCATTTGCTATTCGAACCGCACTACCTGAAGGTTGTTACGTAGTGATTGAGACGACAGAAGGTAACCGGCAAGGTTGTCTTGTGTTGTCTGAAACGGCTAGTGTTTTCGACTCATTTGCAAGGTTCGCTGTTGAGCCGGCGAGCGATGGTCTTGTGCACATAAAATCTCGCTACAACAATATGTACCTATGCAGGTCATTATTCCTTAACAATTTTACATACTCCCTCCGTGTTTTTCTAAGTGTTACAGTTTGACCGGCACATAGTTTTAGGCAATTTAATTGACTTTAAATAAAATAAGAGGTAAGTGGGGTATTTGGAGTATTAAAAAATTGTAAAAGAAAGATATTAGAGTTAATAGTTTATTGAAAAGTAATGAATGTGAGAGGAAAAATATAATATATACTACGTAAAAAAAGTAGTAGTGGCCTAGTGGGTTTGAGTGGAGACCATGAGAGGAGAGAGATATAATATTTTAATGTAATTTTATGCCAAAAAAGAAAGTGTAACACTAATTAAAATACGGCCGAATTTGATAAGTGTAACACTTATTAAAACACGGAGGGAAACTTCATTCCATGCATTTTATTTTACGTACTATTTATTTATTTATTTATTTATTTATTCCTACTTTTCATTTAGACTACATGAATATTATTGTGTCTAGTTTGGGTAAATATATTTAAAGGCAGCAAAATAATCTCCTTGTAGTCTGTTAAATATATTTAAAGTGTTACAGTTTGACCGGCACATAGTTTTAGGCAATTTAATTGACTTTAAATAAAATAAGAGGTAAATGGGGTATTTGGAGTATTATTTCCGATTTAATATAGTACTTCCTCCATTTCTTTTTTAGTTGACACGTTTCTTTAGTCATGTTTGTCAATGCACAAATTCAACCATTCATATCTTATGGCCGCTAGGTTGATGGGTGGTGGTGTCCGCGACTGAGGGGTGGTTCTAGTGGCGGCTAGGGTTGGCTAAGATGTGGTTGTGGTGGTTGTGAGGAGAGAGTAATGGGGTATTCTAAGCACGTGACACTCACGTGAGGGGGTCAATGTCGTTAAAAGTCAACCGGGGTAAGGTGTGTTTTTGCAAAAAAAAAAAAAAAAAAAAACTGATTTTAGGTGTGTTTTAACAAAAAAAAAATTATAAGGTAAAGGTTATTAAAGGTGTTATTTGACAAATTTTCCTAATATTATAAATAAAATAAATTTCGTTTATAAAATATTCAAAAATACAGGTGATTACAGGTCGGGGTACCGACAATAGGCGAGGTGGGATGGGGAGGAGGCTTTTAGTGGAGGGGGCGGAGGTTAGATTGTCGGTGGTGGGATGGTGGCTGGGTTAGGGTTTGTGTATTTATTTTTAGTTTTTTTAAACGAGTGGAGTAGTGACACGTGTAACGAGTGGATCCCACTAACGGATTCCATCCAAAAAACCGTTAGATGGTGGTGAAATCCTATTTTTTTTTTTTTTGTGGTGTTATAATAAAAGTTTGAAAATTTGTGGTGTTATAATCAAATTTTAGAGAAATTTATGGTGTTATTTTAAAATTTTTCCTATATATAATACCCGAGCTATGCTCGATAATTTAAATTATTGATTCTTATGATATAAAAGTTTTAGAGAAATATAACATATAGTCAATTATAATAGTAGGTATTTAAAAAAAATATAACTATAAATACCTATAATAAAATTTTTAATGCTTTTTTTTTTAAAAAAAATTGAGTTTAGGAGGGAAAATTCCCTCCAAAAATAATCCTACTTTAGAATAGAGTAAGAAGAAGTCTCTATATAATTAAATATAAGTCAATGTTCAACCAAAAATTCTACAATAATGCCATTCTTTAAAAATGACACAACAATTTGTTGATGTTGCTAACTTTAATTGGCCTGTATTTAGTATTTTTATTATCATTTTGAATTATTTTTAATGTCCATAATGTATTAAAATTTTATTTTTGTATGTATTCTTTTTAATACATGTATTTTTTTTTTAAGAAATACATAGTTTTAAATTATGAAAGTCTATTTTTATAATATTAATTAATTTTCAAATTTATAATTATAGTTAAACTAGAAATCAAAAAATTAAAATTGTTCATCATGGTTCATATTATTCCTCAATCACGTCATATATTAGCTCCCCATTTCCAAAATCAATGTTAGTTGTTGATAAATTTGTAAATCCAAACTAAATTCAGGATAAAAATTGGGAAACAAATTGTGTTTTTGCTTTATTGTTTTTTTAATTTTTGATTGGATATTTAGTGAAAAAACTACCTAATAAAGCCTAAAATTTGTGAGAAACTACCTAATAAAAAAAATGTTGTAATAAACTACCTAATAAAAGATAAAATGTTGTAATATACTACATTTGACCGAAATTCTACCGCTGACTTAATTTTAGGATGTTAATCCACCTTAGAATACCCCCAAAACCACCGTGAGGGTTGGTTTTCAAGGTGGTAAGGTTAATTTCGGAATGGTTGGAGGATGTTCCGAGTTGGTGAGGGTAGATTAGTGCTTTATGATGGTGGTTTTTAAGGTTAGAGGTGGTGGTTTAAGGGTTAAAAGGTAGTTTTGTGAATGAAAGTGGTGATTTTGGAAGTGTTTTGAGGTCGATCGTCGGTGGAAATTCGGTGTAGGTAGTATTTTACAACATTTTACCTTTTCTTAGGTAGTTTTTTACAACATTTTACATTTATTTGGTAGTTTACTACAACGTTTTTTTATTAAGTAGTTTCTTGCAAAATATGGCCTGGGTTTTAGTAGATGTTTCTCACAAAAAGCCCTTTTTTTATTTTAGGTTTCTGTTCATTAAAAAAATCTCTACAACAATCTCATTTATAAGTATTTGCAAAGGACGAATTCCACTTTGAATGGTTTGAAATTATAATTTAGGAAAATTTGATAAATACCACCATCTATTGTTGCCAAAATTGAAAATAACACCTCAATTTTTTATTTTTTTTTTTTAATTTTACCACCTATTTTTTTCCTAAACTTTTGAAAATCCCATCTCTTTCTCAGATGACGTCATTGTGGGTCCCACATATTCGTTTTCCCTCTCTTTCCCACTTTAAAATATTACGATGAAAACGTAATTACTAGTATGTAATAACACGAGAAGCATGTCGTTTGATTAAATTGACCTAAGGTCCTAGATAATTAATTCCTAATTCTGATTATAGCCTTGGTTGTCATTGTAACATATAATATTATGGATGCAGAAAATCTGAAGAGAGTGAGCTAATTGCTGCTGCAGCGAGTGAACGCAAGGAAAACATCGCAAAATGGAGCTGTACGTTGTTTAGAGTTGAACCGAGAGAGCGTGAGCTTCTTGATTTTTATCATACTGGGACTGGGAAGCTAGTTTCTTTTGACTGGAACGGAGATATTCATGGCCCTTTGATTTTACCTGGTCCTGGTGATGTAGCAGTCGGCTCAGTTCTAACAGTTGATGTTGAGGCGATAGTAAGACTGCCTAAACGTGTTTCATTCAAAGGCGATAATGGTAAGTATTTGAGTTATCATATGGCTGGTGAGGTACCGTACAACTCGTTTACTCGTGATGATAACATCGATCAAGTGTCACATTATGAGATCATTGAAAATAGACACGCAGAAATTCGTATCAAATCGTCACATACTAAGAAGTTTCTGAGATATGGTGATAACGGTTGGATTGTGGCTGATGTTGCCTCAATAGAACCGGAGAAGTACAACCGAAACGAAATATTTAAGGTTGTTAAGGTTGGTGACAATGTCATTGCGTTGCGAAATGAAGCCGGTCAGTTCTGCAAGAGAGTGGAGGATGAAAATGGGATCAGCTGGTTAAGAGCTTGTAACGAAAGCTATGTAGAACACCAAGGTCGGTTTGTAGTGGGAGAGCCTGTGTTTGCTAGGAGAATGGATGTCCAATTTCAATTTAAAGATGCAAAGATTTACGGCAAAGAGGTATGCCAAACTGCAGCTATATCAGTTGTTAACGGAACTGATGAAAAACATGAGCTTTCACAAGGATTTTCTTATACTAAAACTCATTCCGGTACTTGGGGTTCAAGTGATCAGCTTGAAATAGGAACCGAGGCAACTCTGACTGCCGGCGTCCCTTTCTTTTCTGAGGCAACATTCAAGCTTAGTGCTGCGTACACCAGAACTTGGACTCGAGGAATATCTGAAGACCATTCCAAGCAACTTACGTCGACTTATACAGTCCCTGTGCCTGCTAAGACTAAGGTAACGGTCAAAATAAATGAAACAAAGTGTTAATTTTATTAATATGATAATATTGGGTACAATCTGTAATTTGCTCATCTGATTCGATCTCCACTTTTATCTTTGACTTGTTTCACGGGCTGAGTTGACTCTTGATTGAGGGCCGACGAGGCTTGATCTCTATCAAAGATATCTGATGTAGACCTTTGACTTGGGTTTTTGATTGAGGGTCGACGAGGCTTGATCTCGATCAATGACTTCTTGATGTATAGGCTGAACCGGTGATCTTGTAGAGTAGAACGGCACGTCTTGAGAGGTTTTTCCTGTATTTGATTCTCCTTGTTTTTTCTAGGTTTTTCTCTGTAGATTTTTCTCTCTTTTAGGTTTTTCCTTCTGTTTCCTTTTTTCTCTCCAAAATGAAATAGAGATAGCTCTATTTATAGAGTGAGTGACTCTTAGGGTTAGGGTTTGATGTGCATGGAGGTGGGCCTGCTTGATTATCATAACCCATTTTTAGTGGGTTTTAACTATTATATAAACAATTTAATTAAAATAACTAAAATGGGCCAATTAAATTTATTCACCCAATTTAATTAATTTTAATTAATAGTCAAATTAGCATCAAGTCAATAAATTGACTTTTGACCCATATATTATCCAATGTGGCACTTATATAAATTTTTTGTGCCTACAGTAAGTTTATATATTTGTATTTTATTTATTTTTTTCAACGGAATACTTTATTTAATAAAGCGTAAATAAACATAGAGAAACAAAACTAACTATGTACTACGGTGTATAGCTATGTTTTGAAATTGTAACTCACTTATTGCATAAATTTAAATCATTAATCCAGACTTAGGGATTAAGATGAATCATACCAATTTAAGCAAGCTTAACATTTGCAGTAAGTTACAATGATTATTCATCATCAAAAGAAATTAAATTGATGAAATTCTTTACAAAGTATTTGCCTCACTAATGAAGTTAAATACTAGTACTTAAGTAGTCAAGTTTGTAGCGGATTTCCTCTCTATATTTTAAGTTTCACCAACCTAGCTACTAATTGAACATGTATGGACAAACATAAATTAACACTTTAACGACAAATTATTTTAGCAGCCGTTACTTTTTTGATCCAATTAACTTTGAATCCTTTATTTGCTCTTTTTTCTTGTTCGTTATCTGATCTTTTGTTTCTTTATAAATTTGTTTACTAAAGAACGGCAGAGAATCAATACTTTATACTCCTACTTCGTATATAACTAGATGAAGCCCGTACGATGCACGGTTTGTTTGATTTTTTTTTAAATAATTTTTTTTTTATGAGCCTAAAATTTGTTATATATTTAGATAAAATTCCTAATATTAAAAGATAATATATAATTAATTTAAACTTAAAAATCTCATTCGCCAATTTTGCTTACATTGCATTTAAATTATTTAATTCTAAAAGAAATTAATAATCTCTTATTTAATTGGCTACTACTAAGATTTATAATCCTACATGACGCGCTGAGAAAATTAGATCCTACGTGACTCTCTAAAAACTCGGGAAAAATCTTCCCTTTATATATATATATATATATATATGTATATATATATATATATATATATATATATATATATATATATATATATATATATATATATATATATATTAGATTAGTCTTTAATCCCAATAATAAATCTTATTGATCTACTCAGTAGAGATTACTAGAAACTTATTGTTCGGGCGAGCGAGGTTGGCTGGGTCAGCGAGTAATATGAGGAGTAATTTTATCTAGTAGACTGAAATTATTATAAATGGTTCCAAAATCTAATGTTCTCTTGATACATGACAATTTTGGGATAAAGAGTTTTTTTGTTTTTTTTTTAATGTTGGGATAAAGGATTGTTATATACTCCCTGGTGCACTGTACAGTCGTACACCCAACTAATTCAAGGATAGTTTTGCTCTTCATTTGATGATTAAATGAAAAACAATTATCAAAATGAGAACAAGGGTGTACAGTACGCCCAAGTGTATATAACAAATGTCAGGGATAAAGAGTTTAATATATATTTTTGAAACGGGATGAAGAGTTTAATAGCATGACTTGGTACTCGTATAATCGTATTATTCATCAATACATAAAATTATTAAATAAAAACCTAATACTTTTTCCGTCCAAGAATAATTGATACATTTAATTTTTTTTCATTATTTATATTCTAGCTTTGACCATAAATTTATAATAATGTATTAAAAAAAATTATGATAGGTTGTTACATAGATATTAGTATAAAGTTTCATAATACCAAATTTTTTGATAATTTTACAAATATTTAATTATGTATGGTTAAAGTCAAATTTGTGCATTGTCATGTGGTATATGCGCCAAATAAAGTTTGATTGTTTCAATCATTTTGAAAGAGAATATAAAAATAAGATAGGAAAAAAATATTCCTAAAACATAAGGAGTAAATTGGTATTTGGTACGAAAAAAAAAAAAAATCTATGGAGTACTAAAAATTGTTGATAAATTTGTAAAATATGGGAAACACATAATTAGAAGGTTATGTTGAGGAAAGATCAATAAATTACTCGTATGTGACTTTATAAGACACGTGTATTTGTACATGAGAATTAAGCCCTGTTCTTTTGAGCTGTTGTAGTTTGCTTTGCTAACACTTGTTATATTGTCAAAAAGTTTAAATGAACAGAGTCTAAGTTGCTCTGCTCTATTTTTCTTGCCAAGAATCTCAGAAGAGCAGGGCCTAAGCTGCTCTGTTGACACTTGCCAGACTTAAGCTTTAAAGAGCGTAGCCTTAATATGAAACATTATACTACGTACTTCGTATAAAACATTGACCTTGGTTAATATTTTCACTTAATTAATACTCCATTAGTTTTTAAATACTTGCTCCATTTCTCCTCTCCATGTGCGGAGTTTTAGGAGAAATTAGAGAAAAAAGAAAATATGGAGGTAATGGGTAGGTGGAAAAATAAAAGATTATAAAAAACAAAAGTAGTAGAGAGAATTGAAGGAGAGAGAATATGAATTAATAAAATATGATCATGGTGGGTCATTAGATCAGAGATTGTAAAAGCTTTTCAAATAAGGAAATGAAACGAGTATTTAAAAACGACCGGAAAAAAAAAAGTAAAGCGAGTATTTAAAATTAAAGGGAATATATACATTGACTTGACCTAAACCAACCAATTTTGATGAAAGCTCACTAAATTCTACTGTATATTTATATTATAGTACCATAAAATATTTCAAGCCGATAGATAAATCTAATCAAATGGACACCAACTAAAAAGTTATTGTTAAACAAAGTCCTAAGCATCCTAACTCCTACCAAGCCTTTGGAGGCTTGACCTAAATTAGGCACGTTTTAACCCAAACCACACTTAAAAAAAATTGAACCTCCCTTGAAACCAGAATCTATTGAAATTCTATGAAATTAGGGTTCTATAAATTACCCTGTTTTCCTCCCATTCTCTCTCCCTCACACAAAACTAACTTCCTTAAATTCCCCTTTTCTCTCTCCTCTTATATCGCTTCCTACCCACTTATTATTCCTTCATTGCCGTCATCTTACCCAACAAATTAATTATTACTCTTGCTGTTACAAATCTCAATAATCCTTCATCATAATCTTAATTAATACCCAAGATAATATATAATTCTTGCTGTTACAAATCTTTTCAACAATCCGCCATCATAATCGTAATTAATCATCTTAACCTTTTAGTTTTATTTTTATTTTCTGGGTTTTTTGAATTTTGTCGATTAATTATGAAATTATTGTTATTTGATGATTAACTCGTTTTTTGATTGAATTATTTTTACAGAGAGAAATCAAAGATTAGCGTGAATGTTTTAATGGAGTCAAAAGGTGGGAAGAAGAAGTCTAGTAGTAGTCGTAATAATTACGAAGCTCCTCTCGGTTACACCATTGAAGACGTTCGTCCTAACGGTGGTATCGAAAAATTCCGATCCGCTGCATACTTTAACGTATGTCCTCTTCAATTTCAATTCTCTATTTTCGTGTTATTCAAAACTCGTATACGACGAATGTATTGTATAAAATTTACGTTCTCAGATTAAGCACAATTAAATTTCTATACATGTAAAATAAAATTAATTGAATCCCTAATAAGTGAACTTTTATGCGATTATTATACATACAGAACAATATACCCGTTGTATACAAGATTTAACGTGATCTGCATTGTCTCTAATTGATTTTTTTTTTTTTTGGTTTGTTTTGCAGTGCGTGAGGAAGCCATCCTGATATTTGCCGGAGTTCAGTAGATTAATTAATTTTTTTTTTTAAACAAAAACCCTAGAATACCAAAAAAAAAACGTTAATTTTGATTTGTAGCCATGACCGTAGATACAGAAAACGTTTCAGCAATCGGGTTCGAGGGTTTCGAAAAACGACTAGAGATAACATTCTCGAACCCCCCAGTGTTCACTGACCCAACCGGGTTAGGACTACGGTCCTTGACTCGACCTCAACTTGACTCGATCCTGGATGCAGCTTCATGTACCATTGTATCCCAGCTTTCGAACACGGTGTTCGACTCGTACGTCCTCTCCGAATCGAGTATGTTCGTGTACGCAAACAAGATCATTCTCAAGACATGTGGGACTACGAAGCTGTTACTCTCGATTGATTCGATACTCAAGCACGCAAACTCGGTTGGACCTACTGTGTCAAGTGTTTTATATTCGAGGGGAAAGTTTAACTTCCCTAGTGAACAGGTTGCTCCTCATAGAAGCTTTTCGGAGGAAGTTAGTTATTTGAACGGGTATTTTGGTAATTTGGCATTGGGGTCGTGTGCTTACGTTCTCGGTGATCCGACGAATCAGAATCGTTCTTGGCATGTTTACGCCGCGGCCGAGGTGGCGGATCGGACGACGGACGTGGTTGGTGTAGAGATGTGCATGACGGGGTTAAAGAAGGAAAAGGCGTTGGTGTTTTATAGAAAGGAGGGGCATTTTGCTAAGGAAATGACTAAAATGTCCCGGATTGATGACGTCATCAAAAGTCACGTGATTTGTGACTTTGACTTTGACCCTTGTGGGTACTCTATGAATGGGGTCGACGGTGGGGCCTACTCAACTGTGCACGTGACCCCCGAAGATGGGTTTAGTTATGCTAGCTATGAGGCCATGGGGTTTGACCTTAGTTCGGTCCGGTTCGAGTCGTTGGTCCAAAGGGTGCTTAGGTCTTTTGAGCCTAAGGAGTTTACTGTTGCTGTCACGTGCTTTGGAGAGGGTTTGGCACGTGAGTGGGTGAATGTGAATGGTGCTGATGTGGAAGGGTTCACGTGCCGAAGTGGTGTGAAGCAAGAGCTGCTAGGTGGCGGGTTTGTTGTATACAAGACCTACGTGGCCGAGACACCAGAGAGGGAGGTGCACACTCCTTTATCTATTTTGGCATTGCCTTGTTGGAGGGCCATGGAAGCAGCCGAAGACAGTGGCGAGGTGGTGGCTTGTGGTAGCGAGATGGTGGCTTATGGTGGAGATATACCGTCTTCCGGTTATGGGGGTCTAATGGGATATAATTTTGTGCCACCCGTTTAATTTATGTAACGAAGTCATTGTAGTAGTAGTGAGAATAAAGGTCACGGTCATGGCCGGAATTGGGTGCTTACTGCTTACTACTTGGTAGTAGTAAGTTGTAAATTTGACAATTTGTGTCTTATGAAGAGACAATGGATATGAGTCTTGTCAATTTTTATGAAATGTGATTATAATGATTTGTGAATTTATATTATCACTAGCTTTTATTTCATGTAGTGGAATTTCTTATAACAATTGCTGTCTGTTACTCGATATATAATCATGTTTGCATCCCTATTTAGCTTCATCTTATCATTTGTGGGCCATTTTTGTATGGTAGTTAAGAGTTTCTCTACCTTGGTATATCCAATGTAATGTTTTTCTAGAATTAGAGCATTATAAAAAGTAGGGGTGAGCATGGGACGGGTACCCGTATCGTTAGTACTAACGGTTCGGGTACCCGATAACCAATATCACTAAAAGTGATATCCATAACCCGAACCGATAAGTTCGGGTATCCGGACTTCGGGTACCCGAATTTTCGAAACGGTTATCGGGTACCCTATAAAGTATCCAATAGTGATAATTAAACTTAAAAAATTAGTTATTATGATATTTTTTTAACACTAATTAACAACAATACTACATGATCTTGACCAAATTATTAATAACATTACTAATTATTGATATTTATAGTGATGATGAAGTAATGTAAAAGTTTAAATATTGAAAAGATAGATTTAAATAGGAAAAAAACAAAATAATTGCTTATCGGAACGGAACGGGTACCCGTTAATTTTAATATGATACCCAAAAACCATACCCGATAACAAATTATCGGAACGGGTACCCGAACCGTTATGGTTATCGGATCGGGTACCCTAATTTTCGGAACGATAACGAAACGGGTTTTCGGGTTTTCAAATTTTCGGGTTTTCGGTTTTTCGGGTAGTTTTGCTCAGCCCTAATAAAAACCATTAATTGTTCGTATGAACTCAGCTCGTAACATAGGTACACCTAACGTAATGTTCCTTCATAGCAAAAGTTAAAGGGCATATATACTTATAGGCTCAAAACTAGTCAATTTTAGGTGAAATTTTTAGAATCACCTCCTCTAATTATTACAATCCATTAAGTGGGGGTTGAGTCGTCCTCTTTAAACTTTGGTCAATAGATAGGTGTGTTTGATATGGTGTATAACTTTTCAATGCACAACATTCAAATTTTGTCGCAAACTGCATTATATTATTAATCATTAATTATTGTCCTTGTAAAGGTTACCCCTTACACAACACAATTAACACAAATAATCATGTCTTCTTATGCTCACCCTGGCCATCAAAAAGCCAAGTATTTTCATCGTCGATCAAACCCTAGCTCTTCTTAGCATCACAATTGGAGTCCTCCATTATTCTTAAGCTCTACGTACCATTTATATGCAACTTTTGGCAACTTGTTAGTTTCCATTTCATCCCAAAAACATTTAGTTCCATATGACAACTCGCATGCATTTATATGAATAATTGATCATACATATATATAGTTTCAAACAAGCACGACGCATATAAAATCAAATAATCAATCAATATGTACATACTTTGTTTAAAACTATATGTTTGTTTGACCATCGGATCGACGCATGAGAATTGCCTCATTTGAAACTGATAATAAATTACATTA